AAGTGAGGTATCACAAGAATGAAAAAACAACCACATGTACTCACCATTAAATTGGTACTAATTGATCAACACTAATGTGCACATATGGAAAGTTACATTCATAGGGTGTTGGGCAGGTGGGAGGGGGGAAGAGGGGATGGGTAAATTCACACCTAACGGGTGCAGTGCGTGCTGTCTGGGGAATGGGCAGGCTTGTAGCTCTGGCTCAGCGGTGCAAAGGCAATTTATGTAACCAAAGCATTTGTACCCCTGTTAATATTCTGAAATTTTTTTTTAAAAAAGGCTATGAAATTGGTGAGCTCAAGCCAGGATCTCCAGCGGATAAAAGGAACCAGGTAATACCTGGGTTTCAAGGGAAGGAATATAAAATTGACTGAGGTCTATCTCTGACAGGTTGAGCAGGTGGAGTCTGAAGGAGGGATCCAGGAGGCCCAGGGAGTGGAGGGATGGCAGGGTAGGGTGGTAGGGGAGGGGCTGTGATTCAGCCTCCTCCCCTTACACTCCTCCGCTACCCTCAGGAGCCCTTTGTGATGAGGAGGCCGCAGCTCTGTGATGCAGGCCTGGGCCCTAGTCAATGGGCCCCAAAGGACACTCCTACAGCTCAGTTGCTTTAGGGCAACAATGCAATTCAGAAGATGGAGAATCATCTCTTTTCTCTGAAAAGCTTTAGTGCCTCATGGCTGAGCCCCAGCTCCACTTCCTGGGCGGTACACATCACCCTGGGCTTCCTGTGTGGGCTGGGGCCCTTCCTCCTGTTACGCCCCTGCCTCGGGAGTGATCCATCCTCACCACCACTTGGGCAGTAAAGAAACATCAGGAAGGTAAGGAACTCTCAGCCCAGACCCAGCAGAGAATGATTCTCTTTTCTATTGTAATTTCCACTTTTCCAAATCTAGTAGAGAGTCCTGAGCTGAGAATCTCTTCATCCTTCTAGGTCCAGGCAGGGCAGCGGGTGTTTGGAGTGGCATAGGATTTCTATCCAAAGCTTTCGGACCACTTGTGTGGGTGCGCAGGAGGCCTCAAGACTAAATTAAATGCTGGGGCTCAGGGGCCGAGGATGGGGTTATGAGAGAGTTGAGATCTCCTGTGAGGATGGCTCTGAGCCCTGGTTCATCAGTGATCTGTTGCATCTCTGTGGCCCGGCCTTTCCTCGGTGTTGGATGATCTGAGAACTGTGCAGATCTCCCAAGAGCCTCCCATCAGGGGCTGGAGTGGCCTCTGGCCACCTCGGGAAGCAGAACCCTGCCTGACAGCTCAGAGGCACCTGGAGGTCTGAGTCAGTTTCTCTAGCAAAGTGTTAATGGGAAATAAACCCAAGCTCTGTAAAATAATTTAAAGAAGTTTATTCTGAGTGGATTGTATGTGATCACGGCCCAGAACATGTGGCCTTGAGAGGTCCTGAGAAGATGTGCCCAAGGAGGCCAGGTTAATGTGGCTTTATACGTTCATGGAGACAGGAATTACACACAAAATAATAAATAAATACATGGAAGCTGTACATTGGTTTGGCCCAAAAAGGCAGGACGTCCCAAAGTCAGAGCTTACAGGTTATAGGTGGGTTCAAAGATTCTTTGATTTGTAATTGGTTAAAGAATGAAGATTTGTCTAACGGCTTGGAATGTCTTTAGTTAAAATAAGGAAGTCTGTTAATTGGAGACAAGCCACTGGACAGATAGCATACTCAAGTGATCTGTTAAGCAAAGTGATGGCCTTCAGGTGTGGTTTTCCATGGCCGTAGGTCCTGTTAATAATTTAATAATATAATATCTTACTGTTACCATGAGTAACTCTGAAAGGGAGGGGCATGACTAGGCCACTGTGACCTCTCTTCACTTCATGGCAGGCAACTCAGTTGGAAGGTTTTGCTGGGGTCCCCTTGGCCAAGAGGGGTGTCTGTTCAATCAGTTGGAGGGCTTAAGATTTTATTTTACGTCACTAGAGGAACAGTTATGAAAGACTCCCATGGTAGATCTCAAAAAAAAATCCTTCTTTGCATTTTTCAATGAAGGAAAACAGAAAATATTTTTATCCACTTTAAAAATGAGTAAAAGGAAAGAAAAGAAGACAGAGGCCCATTAGCCAGATGCAGAAGGTCATGTCCTCCGTGAGCACTGAATGTCTGGTCCCAGCCCCTCAGTTTTTCTTGTCTCTCAGCATCCAGTGGAGAAGAGGCAAAGGCCCGGGAGCAGGAAGAGCTGTGCCCTGAGAGGTAAGGCTCTGCGCCCTGCCCAGAGCCCCCAGGGGGACTTAGCTTCACTGTCCCTGAGGGGTGAGTCTCCCAGGAAGTCAGCTGCAGAGGCCTGAGGGGAGCTCCAGGGAAGGAAATCAAAGCCTGGGATTCTTCTCAGATCTCATGGTATGCGTGAAGCCAGGCAGGCAGGGAATGGGCACTGCCCAGTAGGGGCCTGGATGTGCAGGGAGTGCCTCCAGGCCCAACTGTGGACAGCTGCTCAGCCTGGCTAAGGCTGGTTCCTCTTTGAGGTGGCCCCTGTCCTCTCCCCGACAGGGGGTATGAGGACCCTGGTGGGTAGATGTAGGAGCACTGTGTACATGATAAAGTTCTGCCCAAAGAAAGAGCTTGTTGCTGTCACTGCTGGGGTCACATGGCCTTGGACACTGATGCATGGTCTCCAGGGTCCAATCCGCCATGGTCTAGAGAGACATTCAGCCTCCTGCAAGATCCCCAGGCCTCTCCCTTCCCCCATCCCAACTCCTGATTTCCAGTTTGTAGAGACTGCCTGAGGGAACTGGAGGGCGCTCAGGACCTGACTTCACTTCTGCAGAGGTGAGGACTGTCCCCTTCTCTCCCTGTCCTCCTTCCTACCAGGGCCTGGAAAGCAACCCCAGGGCCTGGGGCTGACCTGGGAGGGGGAGACCAGGGAAGGGAATGGGATGTGACTAGAGCTCTGGGGCCTGGGAGGGGCAGAGCTCTGTGAAGTCCGAGTGGGGCAGATGAGGGGCCAGGGGCCGCAAGTGCCCACCCCTGCCCAGCCCCTGGCCCCACCCTTCCCTGCTGCAGCTTGTGCCTCCTGTCTCCTGCAGCCACCTGGGGCAGCTCCCTGACAAGGGGGACTTTCATCAGCTCTCATGTCCAGACCCCCTGGGGGAGGCGTGCAAACCAGCACCTGCCAGCGCCCACCGGCCCCATGGGGAGCAGGTGGAAGATGCTTCTCCCACCACCTCGACCCTGTTGGCTTTCCCGGCTCCCCTGACCGAGCATCCTCCACCTCTGGCTTCCACCCTGTCAGTCGAACCTCAAGGAGACCAGTCTGACTTGAAGAGAGTCCCCCCCCCGCCCCGAGCACTGTCCCGGAGAGCTCACCTCCAGGTTTGATGCCTCCCGTCTGGGTCACTTCAGGCCTTGAATGCACCATTTTGTTCCTGTCCTGGTGGTGGGGAACTGCCAAGGCCCTGTTCTTCCCCACCTCACATGACAGCAAATCCCAGCAGGAGCCTCTTTTCCATCATCCACCAGAGGCTAGTTTCTGGGGAGACCCCACACGCAGGCAGAGGGAGGCTGGCAGCCCCGCCTTCCTCCACCCCAACATCCAGAAGCTCCTGGAGATACTCATCACCAAGAGAGCAGAACTGAAGCTGTGGAAGCAGAAAGAAAAAGAGGGGCCATTTCTGAAACAAATGAGCCCAGACTACCCCCAGGCTGCTCAGGGGAATGTATTAGTGTCACCTAGCCAGGAGCAGAGCACCACAGCCACACACGGCTTCTGGAACATGACAGACAAACCAGAGCAGCTGCCTGGTCCTCAGCAGCTCCCCCGTCCCAAGGCTGTGGGGGACCATTTGCCACAGAAATGCAGCCAGCTCTTCTGGGGCCTCCCATCTTTGCACAGCGAGTCCCTGGTGGCTGCTGCCTGGGTCTCTAGAACGTCTCCCTCAAAAACACGTCGCTCTGTTTCATTCAGTGAAGTCCCTGACTTTTTTCCAGTTGAAACTAGGGCTGAAGCACCTTCACAGCCTCCCCAGGCCCAGCCCTGGCCCCAGCACATGACCCGGCCCCAGCCTTGGACTCAAACCTTGTCCCAGCCCCAGCCCCAGCCCCACATCTGGATGAGAAACACACCCAGGCCCCTCTCCCACCCTCCCCCCCAGACATACCATACTGCTGTCCACTCCCAGGGAAAGGGGACCTTACAGGAGACCATAGAACAACTTGCCCTACATCCCAGGAGAAGGCACAATTCCTCATCCCAACCAAAAGTGAACATCTGGAATGGCCCTTGCAGAAGCAACTGAGATGGAAGAGGATTTTACCCTCTCTGCTCAAAAATGCTCAGGAAGGGGCCGGGCGCGGTGGCTCACGCCTGTAATCCTAGCTCTCTGGGAGGCCAAGGCGGGTGGATTGTTTGAGCTCAGGAGTTCGAAACCAGCCTGAGCAAGAGCGAGACCCCGTCTCTACTAAAATGTAAAGAAATTAATTGGATAACTAAAAATATATAGAAAAAACTAGCCGGGCATGGTGGCGTATCCTGTAGTCCCAGCTACTCGGTAGGCTGAGGCAGGAGGATTGCTTGAGCCCAGGAGTTTGAGGTTGCTGTGAGCTAAGATGATGCCACGGCACTCTAGCCCGGGCAACACAGTGAAAAAAAAAAAAAAAAAAATGCTCAGGAAGCTTTTAACCAACCCACTCCCAACTTTGCCCAGGACAGCTGGGCCTCCCAGAGCCACAAGTCAGGCTCCACCCTTCCTGGGCCTTTCATTGGCCCAGAGCACCAGGAGCAGCAGGAGCAATACACTCAGAGGAGTTTCATCCCAGACAAACACGAGTCGGGTCCTCCGCGCAGATCCCAGGCCTCAGGGGAACTGATGCAGCCTCAGGGTGAATTCCTGGGGACGAGCCAGTCCCAGCCTCCTGTGTTAGCGGCAGGTGAAAGCAGCAAGGAGGTACAGAAGGTGGGGTCCAGGCACTCTGAAAGATTCTCTCAGAAGGGCTCCGTGAGTGTCAAAGAAGACAAGGACCCAAGCAGGGATCTAGGGCAAGATCTGGAGAGGGGCCCAGAAGATCCATGTACAGGTTCAAGAAATGCTTCAGTGAAGGTTCTGAGGATGATGAGGAGAAGTCAGAAGATAGTGACTGGATTAGGCCCCAGAGGTGTAAATCAGGAAGTTACCTACTCAGGGGCCCAGAGAAGCAGCATGTTGAAAAAAACCTGAAGTCCCATTTGGACTGGAAATTGGGGGAGATCGAGGGCACGGTCCCTGTGCCTGTGCCTTAGTCCCGGCGTACTGCCAGCCATGCTATTGTCAAGTCTGACACCCTCACGAAGCCCAGAAATCTAGCATCCTGGAGGGGTTGGAAATGCTGTGTGAACACCTCCCAGGAGCTTTTCTTCCTCGATCCGTGCGCTCAACTGATGCTAGAAGCGCATATTACAAGGTTTCGGGTGAGGCACAGGTGGGGTTCAAACCTCCAGTCCCTGGAGCCTGTAAATCTCAAGGCTCAACCCCCACCCTTTGCATACTCCACCCTTCCCCCCCTGGGAGGTCAGTGAATTTGGGGACAACTCTATAGCCGGGGTTGCCAATTTCCTAGGAGAACGTCCTTGGAAAGGCCCAGGAGAGAAGGTGATAAAAGAAAAGTCAGTCCTCACCCTGACTGGTTTTCTCTCTGCCCCGTCACCTGTGGGGGAGGAAGTCCAGCGGGACCTGACAGGGACCCAGTCTGGGGACAACCGTGGCCACTCAGAGGCCCCTCTGACTGGACAAGAGGGCAGGTGGCCTTCTCAGCCCCTCACATGCAGCTTCATGAGCAGAACGTGGCAGAGCACTACTGTCCTGGGGACCGGGAGAGGCAGCCCAGAGCTGGGTCCAAGTCCAGCGATGGCCAGGCATGAGCCATGGGAGGAGAAGGAGAGCGTGGCCTCAGGAGACCCCTGCAGCAGCACAGCAATGCTGGAGCTCACTGTAGGGTCCCAGTCTTCAGGGGCCAAGGAGACCATGGAGCCAGTGGAGGCTGAGGAGAAGACCCCTGCTTGGGAAGTCACCGTGGGAGCCAGTGTGATGGCAGACTCCCAAACTGCTAATGTAAATCCCAGTTCAGGATCTCTGAGGACCAGTAAAAGCTCTCCACTCTCTAGAATTTCTGGTACCCAGGATCCAGGAGAGCTACATCTGAAAGCACAGGTTGTCAGTAAGTTCGAGTTCAAAGTGCAGGTAGAGACAGAGAACCAGCTTCAAGGCCCTGCCACCGACGTCCTCCTCCAAGACTGTGCCACTGGCCTGCGTTTTCGGGGCCGTCACACCAACATGCTCCCCCCTGAAGACATGTTGCCTTCTCAGGCCCCTCTGTCTGGTTCCCAGAATGTGCCCAGTAGGGACACGTCAGCTTCCCAGGGGTTTTGTGACCCCACGTGGAAGGGAGGCAGCAGCCAGGGGCAGCAGGAGCCCAGGAGCCCAAAAGTCAAGGCCCTGTGGAAGAGTCAGAGCAAGATGCTTGGTCCTACTGACAAGAGACCCAAACGAGGGCAGCAGGAACAAACAGCTGCAGGACCAAGGGCCTCCCAAGCCAGTGGGATGAGGCTCCCTGTCCAGGTCAGGGAAATAGGAGAAACCCGTGGGAGCAAATACTCTCAGTTCCTGGGAAAGAAGGGACAGGCACCTCCGGAAAGCCACTCCACGAGAAGGATCAGTCACGGCCTGCAGTGTCTTGACCCCAGTAAAAAAGGCACACGGCAGGAAGCTCCCCTGCAGAAAGGCAAGCCTGCATCGGCGAAGCCTGGAGCCCAGGGCCGGCCCCAAGAAGACTGTCCAGCAGGGATGCTGAAGTCCAGGCAGTCATTACACTCGTTGGACAGATCCTAGTGGACAAATTGGGGCTTCAGCAAGGACATGGTCCCTCAGAGTTCAATTACCACAAAGAGGAACTCCAGGCCCCAGTGGATGGGCAGTCCTGCTACCCCTCCCACCCAGAGCAAAAGAAAGCAATGACAGATAGGGCCTGCAGTCACCACGCCTCCCCCATGGGCCACAGCCGTCCTGTCAAGAACAGGTGGGTCCGAGACAGGGACAGCACTTGGGCCTCCTGGTCCAGGGAGCCTATGGCCCCAGCCAGTCCCTGCCAGCATGGGCCAAGGGTGGCAAGAGCCTCAGGCCACCTTCACTATTAGCCAACGTGCTTGTCTGTTCAACCAGATCATGCTTCTCATGCCTTCCCCGGTGGGAAAAGTTTTCTTCCAGAAAAAATTGGGGACAGGCAGAGAAAACCTGTTTGCACATCCCCTATATGCTAATGGCTTCTTACCAAGATGTATTGCTTCCTAATAGATGTGCTTTTCCTCATCAGAGGTGGTGGCTTCTGTCTGTGGAGTGCTGGGCCGCAGGAAAGGGGATCAGTGTCCACTCCTCCTGAGCGTGGCTTCTGGACATAGGGAGGCTGTCGGGGGCTTGCAGACCCACCTGCACCCTGGGGTCCCTCACGGCAGCTTGTCACAACTCCATGATTACAGAGAGCCTTCAGGCCTGTCAGGACTGGCAAACCCTATGGAGACCACAACTGAGGACCTGCCTTACTCTGTCTTTCCAGCTTTCTCTCTGCCCTGAACTTTGTGCAGCGGTGTGGGATGGGCTTACTGAGGCCTCTTAGGGTGGAAATTCCCCTGGGGCCCCAGGAGTGTGGGAGCCAAGCAGCCTCACTTCCTAGAGGTGGGCCTGGAAGTTCCAGAAGTGCTGGCCCTGGCTTCAGGGGCAGAGAGATCTGGCTCCCCTGGCTCATGGTGGGGAACAGACTACCCAGCCCTCTGGGCTCAGCCTTGGTGACAGGAGCCTCCCCTTCCCGGCCTCCACCTTACCCTCTGGCGTGACCGGGAGCGTGCCCAGGAGTCACCCGACCATGGCCCACGGAGGAAGAAGGTAAGGTGCAAGAAGAATCAGAAGCCAGGAGAGGAAGGCTACAGAGTGCAGGGGCTCCCTACGAGGTGACCTCCCTGTGCACAGCGCCCCCTCCAGCCTAGGGGAAGGGTCGTGGCCCCTACGTGGAGGGCGGGGCCCGGGAAAGCAAAGCCCTCTTGCCAGAAGGTCGCTACCGCGCCGTGCAGGTGACCAGCCTGCGTGCCATCCCTCTGGAATTCTAAAGAAAGGAAGTGTGTGATCTAAGTAGGAAGCAGAACTTAGCAGAAGGAGCTCTGGGTGCTGTGGCTCCCCCATTTGCTCAGGGGCAACACTACCCTTCACCCCAACCTCACACCATAACCATCCCTCATTGTCTGAGGACTTAGGGGAGGCTTTAGATGAAGAAGAGGAGGAGAGGAGGAGAAGAAGGAAGATGAAGAGCCACTGTCAAAGCAATAACCATGGCCTCTCCTCTAGCCCAGTAACCTGACAAGGCCTTGGGACCCTGAGACACAGAGATATCCCCCAACCACACATGTACTTGGTTGCCACATCTTCTAACTCAGACCAATGCTTCCTCGGCTGCGTCATCCAGCCCATGTAGGAGAAGCTCTTTCATCCATCGACCAGTGATAGCCCAACAGGAAATTATTTCCACCACCACCACCAAGTTATGATACATGCTATTATTTCAGCCAAAGAAAGTCACTTTACCATTTAGATAACAATATACTTCAAAAGTATGGGAACTCTTCTTGATGGCAGTCTTATTTTTAACCATGGTGTGACTTAAAAGGAAAACAAAAGAAATGTGGCTTTATTATAACGTTCATGAAAGGCATTGCGTTAGTGTGTTCCACTTCTTTCTCTGGGACAGACCCCATCATGGAAAGCATACCTTTCCCTGAATCCTCAATGCACCTGCAATTCAAGGTGGTCGTAATAGATGAGGAGTGGAGGCAAAAGCACACACAATCCAGTTCCTGGAGCAGCATTGTCCTGCCCCATGTTGGTGATGGGGCCACATGCTAAGGAATGTGGGCAGCCTCTAAAAGCTGGAACAGGCAAGAAAGCTGATTCTCCCCTAGATCCTACACAAAGGAACACAGCTCTGCCAATACATTTATTTTAGCCCAGTAAGACTAATTTTTTAGACTTCTGATTTCCAGAACTATAAGGTAACCGTTGCCACTGAGCTTGTGGTAGATATATATATTTGATATTTATACATTAAAAATGTTATATATATATGTATAAATGCACAAATACATATACACACACACATTGCTGTAGGAAGCAAAATGGTTCCATTATTTTGGGAAACAGTTTGGCAGTTTCTTATAAAGTTACACATAGACTTACCATATAACCCAGCAATCTCATTCTTATTTACCCAAGGGAAATAACACATGTCCACATAAAAATTGTACATGAATGTTTATAAAGTCACTACTTTATTCGTAATCACCCAAAACTGGAAACTACTCTAATGTCTGTTCACTGCTGCATGCATAAACGTACTGTGTTATATTCATACAGTGGAATGTTACTTAGGAAAAAAAAAACTACAGATACATGCTGCAAGAGGTTGTACCTCAAATGTATTTTTTATATGAAAGAATTCAGACTCAAAAGGCTATATTGTATAATTCCATTTATTTGATATTCTGGAAAAGGAAAAACCATAGGAACAGAAACCAGATTAGTAGTTGCCTAGGTTTGGGAGTGGGCAGGAAAGATTGACTACAAAAGCGTTTGAGAAGAACTTTTTTGGGGGGAAGGGGTAGTGGAAATATCCCATCCCCTAACTGTGGTGATGGTTGCACCACTGTATGCACCTGTCAAGATGCAATGCACTGTACACCTAAAAAGGATGAATTTTACCGTATGCAAACTCAATATAACCTAATTCTAGAAAAAAATAAATAAAAAGCAAGTAACCTGAAATTGGGCTTAACTTGAAACTGGACTGGCTGTTGGTTATCTCCAGGATTTCCCTGAATTTGCAATACCTAAGCTTTGCAGAATTGAGCAGTGTCAAATCAAGCAGAGATTGGGCTGAATAATAACCACCATGCTCTCACACACTGATGTAATTTATATTGAAAGCGTTTTAAAAACACGTTCCTCTTCGTATTTTTCCATTATAAATTATCAAAGATTTTGTTTTAGGGTAATGTGTGTGTTTTAAAAGATATATTTCCTTGATTCAATGATCAGAATATTAAAAAGGCATACAATGAAATATCTCCCTCTTTTCTCTGTTTCTCATCTACCCAGTTTCTTTGCCCACACACAACCATGATTGCCAGTTTATGTATCCTTCAAAAGTGTTCTATTCTGGCACAGCAAATGCATACATGAATTCTTATTTTTCCCTTTTATACACAAATGATAACCATATTGGGACTATTATTCTGCATCTCAATGTTTTCATTTAACAATACTCCTCAATTCCTCAATATTTTTCCACATCAGTACATATGGAGCTTTCTTATTCTTTGTAGCTGTGTTGTATCCACTGTACAAATGTACCATTGTTACTTTACCCAGTCCCCTATTAACATTTAGATTGTTTCAGTATTTTATTAGAAGCAATGCTATAGTGAATAGCCTTATACCTATGTTATTTCACATAAGTGATATCTGTACAATTCCTAGAAATACATCTATTGAATCAAAGTATATGTGTATTTACAAATGTGGTATGTATAATGCCAAATGCCCGCCAAAGAGGACAGAACAATTCATAGTGGCACCACCCAGATATAACAGTGACTGTTTCACAAGGTCATTGTCAATAACTTTTTGATCTTTGCTATACTGCTAAGTGAAAATGTATACCTCACCACAGCTTTATTTTGCATTATTATTATGAATGAGATTAAACACCTTTCCAAATGTTTCAGAATAATTTGTATTGCCTGCTCTGTAAATGATCTTTTCACGTCCTTGGCCCTCATTTCTCATGAGTTATTGGTCTTTTTCTTTCGATATGAAGGACCTCTTTATATATCAGGGAAATTACACCCATGAGTTGCAAATATTTTTCTGTAGGTGATTGTTTTTCTTTTAAATTTGTCTATTGTGACTTTGGCCATTCATAAATATTTAACTTTCAATTCTTGAAGTTTAAGATTTGTTTAGTTGAATGTACTACCTTTTTCATTTATGGCTTCTAGATTTTATAACATAGTGACTAGTATTTCCATAGTCAGATATTAAAATTTCTTTAATATTTGTATGATTTTTTATATATTTAATTCATCGATGGGATGAGAGTTGTGGATTCAGCTGTAATTTTTTGAGATGGCTAGAACAGATAAAGAAATTATTTCTTTCTAAAAAAAAAAAAAAAACCTGCTTTTTTTTCCTCAAAGGTAGCGGATGGTAAATGGGGGCTGGGAGAAGTCTATAATAGGAACAGAAAGGTAGTACTCTGAAATTTTTAGGTTAAGTTTTAAAATTAGCTTTTCTACTAAGCAAGTAGCACAAGTATTACGTTAATGGATGCCCAAATAAACATGCTGCAAATAAATCAGAGAACCCTTCCATTTCTCCCTCATTCCCTACCATGAAGGAAATTCAGTTTGTGGTGTTGGTGGTGCATTTCTCATTATCCAAAGACCAACTGTAAATTCAGTTCTTAACTGACACCATTATCAATTGACTGGCTTGAAAAAAGATACCATTGTTCAATAGATAAATTAAATAAACTTTCCAAACACACACTCACACATAATTCAGGGAGAAGGAAATGTTTATTTTTTGTTAATCTTTTGACTACAACCACCATAATTCTGCAGGTTTAGTAGCAAACTTGACTAATAACGCTTCTAGGAGTTCACAATTTCAAGGCTAAGGTTCCGATTAAGGTAAAACGGTTATCAATTTAATATAAAAGATGTTTTTAAAAGGGCTAAAAGCAATCTAACCTCTTAAAGGAAAATACAAATGATCCACACGTTAGACTTAGTAACATAAGTACACTTTGGTACTACAGCAGCCAAAGAGATAGTAAGATCCCGACCGAAGATCAGCAGGAAGCACCGCTGTTTTCTCCTACGACACATACTTTGGTCGCTAGCATACTAGTGTGAATAAGGCGATGTGCTAAGCGCTGGCATACAGGTGCAGCTAGACGTGCTGAAGGGAGGCAGTGGGGCTGAGCAGACACAGAGCAGGGACTCTCTCCTGGTGGCACGTTAGTCATCTTCTCCGCCACAGAGCCGCAGGAGGGCTTTCTTATAGTCCCCAGATGTATCACTCTGAAACCGAATGTATTCTGTTAACCTCCATGACTCACAGAAGCCACAGAAAATTTTAAAACTAACAAATATCTGGCAACAAATTTGATTCATATGACTTTTCTCCCAAGGGTAATCTGTGTGTGTGTGTGTGTGTGTGTGTATGTGTGTGTGTGTGACTTTCTCATCAGGAATGTTACACAGGGAGTTTCCTATCACTATAACTTATGTTCAGCTTTCTAATTTTACCCCTTAAAGGCACAGTTCTCTCTGACAGGAAGTATGTTTTTTCCCTCTGGTAACACAAAGAACAGGGAAACCTTAACAACTATATTCAAATCCAGCTTTCTAAATAGACGCTAGTTTCTATCACACAGTATGTATCTGGCTAAAGGGGGACAATGCTGGGCTGCCAGGCCACTCCGGCTTTGTCTCGGAGACAGAAGGGCAGGACACGCTCTGCCCTGCTTGTCTCACTCACAGATGTGCATGATAAATTAATGTTTCAAGCTGTGTACAAATGCACAGATAAGCTCTCCAGCCACACCACACACATACTAAATTAAAAGCTTGTGCTCAAAAATCCTGCTTTGCACATGGCCCACATTATAATTATTATTATTAACCTTTATCAAAAAAAAAAAAAGAACAAAAAAAAGTCGACTATAAGCCAAATTTAATTATAGGCCACGGAGTGGCTTGCTTTTAAAAGAACAAAAATAATACCTACGCTCCTTGCTTACTCTAGACCTGACTGGTTCTTTCCTGAACTATGAACCAACACCAGAGACAAGGTGATAAAGACAATAAAGAAAGGTAAAACTGATCTGAAATAAAAGAAGAAAAATAAAATAAAAACAGCTGGACCTGATAAAAGAACACATTATTATCATGGGCACAGGGCGGGGTTTGTTGAGTTCACCAAGAGCCTCAGCCACACCAACGCCAAAGCTTTCGCTTGGAAGCCGTCATCGCTACTTCAGGAAACATTATGCTGAGCTTTTTAACCCATAGCTCTCTTATCAGACCACTAAAATTTTAAACTTGACACAACTATTGGATTCTCCCATCCATGCCTGGCATGCTCTACATATTGGTCAGCTTTGGATTTCTAAACATAAATTTAAAAAAAACATTCTACTACCTTAATCATGGAATAAAGAGAGGTGGCAAAATTCTTCCGAAACTCCTTCCTAATGTTAAACAGATCAACCTCGCTCCTGGACACCATGACTCTGATGAGGGTGTGATCATCTGTCCCAGCTCCCTTTAAAAAAGAAAAAGAGAAAGAGAGAGGCACACGGTTTACTTCAAATATAGCTTCAAATGCCCCTGAGTTGGGGTCAATCAATAAAGTAAAACAATTTAGTAGAACTGAGCGGCACATTTTAAGAAGAGAAAAATTCCAAAGGTCTATCAACTAAAACACAACCAGACATAGAGAAAGATAATAATTAGAAAGAGAAATTGATCAGATAGAAGAGGCAAGATCCATTTACCTTCATAGCATAGTAGAGGGTCTCAGCAAGGTAGGCAGGTATACTTCGAATAGATTTCACTAAGAAAATAAATAATCCAGTGGTCAGATGCTATTCTTTTATTACTTAAAAAGAATTAAGTAATTAAAAATCAAATGCTGCCTTTTGCTTATAGCTCTACTTCTCTAAGAGCATAAAAGTAACAGAGGCTAAAGAGTTGCTTATTTGTAAGCTGACCTGATTTCGTCATTCACCAGGTATTTTATTAGATACTGGCTTGGATATTCCTTGGAGTTCTGAGGTCTAAACAGAAAGACATGTAGAACAAGGGGCACTATTTTTTCTATGCCCCTTTGTTCTATAAGCGCTTTTTGGATATTGCAGTTCTGGCAGCCTGAGTTGTTATCATACAACTTTCTTCATAGCCAATAAATTACACAAACACCTGGGAAGTTTTCATTCCTAGAATTCAAGCAAACACTACAAAATCACTAATCTTTGAAAACTCTTGGACTATCTTCCTGAACTTGCTCCTTATTCTTTAATATCCATGATTCACACAGAGTAGGATGAGACTGTCTATTTCAGTACAAATACCCAGGTAAACTGATATCAGAAAAGCATATCCTCTCTGAACATGTACATGTCTAAGGCCGCTCAGACCTCAGTCTGCTTAGCTTTAGAAAACCTATCATATGGAAATTCCTTAACATACAAAAATAATCTTTGCATCTGGGGTTTTCTTAATTCTCCCTTTTCCCATGCTCAAGAAAAATGGCCACCAGTACCTAAAATATCATAAATTTTATGTATTCCAATTATGAAGGAGCTAAGTTTTCTAGTGAAAGTTCATTAACTATGTACTCAAACGAAGGGCTACTTTTAGAGATGGTTCATGTACACCTTTGGCTTATTCTCCAGAAGACAGAGAGCACAAAAGCCCGAGCTCAATGCCAAGTACGTGCAACAAACAGCAGACAGAGGCTCACTCCAGACCCGTGTGAAAACTAAGACCCTCTGGGAACTCACAAACTCGATTCCCCCTGGATTTGGAGAATGTATACAATTACAATCACCTGCACAGAAACTCAGTTCTCCAATTTCCCCAGATTATTCTGAATATTTAGTTAAAACTTTAAATTATTTAGTCTGAAAACAACCATCATCACATATTCTATTAAATCAAAGACACTATTTTCTAAACCAAATGACAACTTTTCAGTCTGCCTCAAAGCTGTGAGGACAATATTCAAAAGATTTCTAAAATTCCACAGGTATCAGAAATAACATTTACAAGCCTCTGAGAAATGGCCACAACATTTCAGGTTCGTAATGAAATAGTAATGTGTTTAATGCATCTTCAAAATGATTTTTAAACAACTCTTTTGGCATTTCCACAGGATTGGATGAACTAACCAGCTAATCATGTATTGCCAACAACAAAACAAACTTTTGCATTGGAAATTTAGGTGTTAGCCTTCACTCAAATATCATATCAAGCTCTTCCTTTCATAACTAGGTGGTTATTCTCAGAAACAGTCTCAACTGAATGAAATATGTTAGCTCTTATCACCATAAATAGTACATACATCGTAAAATCACCTACCAACAGCAAGAAGTAGTTGCTCCAAATTGCCAGAAGTCTCCCGGTCAATGGTTTCCTCAATTTGAAATCCTGATATAGTCATGTATTTGTCAAACACTAGAAAAAATGAAAATGATTTCTCAGTCACATAAGGATCACTCTCTCCATAAAGGAGATATTTACTTTGACCAAGTATTGTCCCACTGAACACAAATCTTCCCCTTCCTTCCTGGCAGAACCTTGCACTCAGAGCTTCGATGTGCCAACCCTGAGCAATGGATCACAAATAAGTGTTCTCTGTTCACTGATTCCCCACCTCTCCTTACTAGTTATAACCAATGAGACCTACAGGTAAATCTATTGGAGGGGATTCCGAGAAATCTTTCTCTTTTCTTATAAAAAGTGACAGATATGACTAGTTTACCCCTTTCTTTTCTTCCTGCTGTGAAAATGGTCATGTTTGGATCTACCACAGCTATCTTGTGATAATGAGGGAATGAGCATGAGAAAGAAAACCATAACACTAAAGACAGTGGAGCAAAAAAATGGAAAGATCTCAGGTTCTCCCAAATCAATCATGGAATCCTATCTACAGAAATTAAGCCCAGTTTTTAAAGCCACTATTAGGGTTTTCTGTCACTTGCCACTAAACTCATTCTCAACTGATACCACAAGTATTGATGACATCCAGAGCTGAGGTCTTGGGTACCAACATCTAGGAGGAAAGACACGTAGTGAGTCACTACTCAGTGATTTGTGACTATGAGAGTTAACAGTTGAGAGGCCTGACCTCCCTTGCCATTCTCTGATAGTGAAGGGCAGACTAAGGATCTCTAATTTGTGAAAGCTACAATAGCAGCAGAGAACTATGAGATTTCTCCTGGTCACTAAAAGGAAGAAATACAAAACATGATTCACTTGGTAAGTGCCTGCTATGCAACAGGTATTCTGGCATACTGGCTCACGCACTTTCAAAATTTACCAAAATATCTGCCCCATACAGATTCTTTTTTCACTCACCCCTTCTCAAATGAGACACGCTTCGTGTTCCAAAGATGGTGATAAACTTTTCTTCATCTGTCCCCCATTTAAGTTCTCCAGCCTGAAACAGAGCCTACAAAAATTTCAAGCTCAATTAATAAATTGTTCCTCCATCTCATTTCCAAGTTCTTAATCACACTTGTTTTTTGCTCCCTAAATATTAATTCACCTGACTTATCATCTTTGAGTTTTCATTTCTAACGTTTCCTACTCTGAAACTCAGCTGAGTTTGGAGCTACTTTGGAGCTTGTCATGAACTATGCCACAGACGATTTGTGGTCAAAGCGATAAAGCATAGCAATGGTGCAGGTTAAGTGCTCCCAAAACGTCCACCATAACTTTCAATCTTTAGGAGCAATGGTAGGGGGCGGGGGAAAGTTATGATTATCTCACTGTTGATATATCCATTTACAGACTGGAAAAGAATTTAGGAGTTAAATTGTGTTTTCTGTTTTGCTTGTTCTATAGCAGTTCCATAGCACATGATTAAAAGTAAACTCCATATTTTCTCTTTATAATTGAGATTTAACCAAGGCTAGCTATAATATTTTCATATTTCCAAGGGTCACAATACATTTTTAAAAGGTTGTGAGTGTTGCAGTGCCTCGCACTTAATAAATACTTGCTTAACAGTTTGTGTGCCCGTACTTCCTTTCTGACATGGAAAAGAATATATGCTTTCCGGTGTTCATAGGACTGCTTAAAAAAATAACCTTATATACAAACATCATTAAATCTGAATCCACTTATTGAGATGTGAATAATTTATTAAAACCCAAAGAATCGATCTTTACGATGACTACACTCCCTTTTAGTCATTCATTTCAAGTTAAGTATATCTATTAAACCAAGATGAATGCAATCTGCTGAGGCTGCCACTTGGAATGGGCCTTACGCTCACAAGTGGCAAAACAAATAAGGATAGGAGGTGATGATAACATGTATTTGGATGTAGAAGTTTTGATCACAATATGTTTAGGAATGTAGGTTATGGTGGTATAGAATTATTTTTTATTATATTTCCAGAAAATCAAAAAATATGTGACTTATAAATCTTTACATTCACTTTTAAAACTATTTTAATGATAAAAATAAATATCTGATCACAATTCTGATCATGGTGATATAGATCTTTCTTAAAATAACTTCTTAAATCTAATTACAAAAATAACACATGCTGAGAAATTTTGTAAAACAAAGAAAAAACACAAGTAAGAAAACAAAAATTACTATTAATACCAACATCCTGAAGATGTTGGTTACCATCCTGAGGGTGCTGGTTACTACTTCTAGCATGTTTTCTACATGTAGATAAGATATACACGTACACTAATAGCTAAAAAGGGGAGAGGCTTATCCTGCAGAATATTGCAGGCATTGCCCATGCATGCATTTCTTAACAACTCTTCTATATTTCTAGGAATTTTCTCTAGTAGGTATAGCAGTTAAGCCTGTTATATGGGAATAAAAATTGGTGAAATGTCAGCTATTTCTTACTATAATCTCTTAATTTTCTTGGAAGAAGTATGTTTAGGAGCAGCATCTTTTCTAAAAGTAATATTAAGTAGATCATATGTGATAATAATAATGGCAATGTCATATAAAACAATGATATTTAACAGCTTTATCTTGTTTTAATCTAAGTATCCTTTCTTCTAAATGCGGACGTCCAGTATCCAAGGAGATGCTCTGGATGAGGAGCCCTCACACCTCCCGCCCCTCCCCTCAGCTTCCCAGTGCAGCCTGAGCACGTGTGATAACCCCTAGTTCAGGGCAAAGGACAGAGGCTTTGGAGTTAAAGAAGACCTGGTCTTTGTCCTTATCCACAAGATCTCATATGAACTACTTAATCTCCTCTCAAGCCCCAGTGTCCTCACATGCAGAGCACGAATGATGTTTCTGGAGATGACACAATTTACATAATGCACTGAACTGTGTCAGGTAATCAGCAGCAGTGCTCAATAAACACTGATTCCCTTCTCCTCCCAGCTTCTTCCCCTAAGAGCTCAGTTCTCCCTCCAGAGAAAGCATAAAACAGGGATTGGGTGGGGAAGAAGATCAGTTTCAATGCATTAAAAATATTAAATCAGTTAACACATCAAGAAAAGTAAATCGGTTTAACATATTAAAAATGTTAAAAAGTAAAGTGGATTATCTACAAAATGTTCAATTCCTAAGTGAATGACTCACCATTGCTTACCAAACCCCTCAAACAGTAGAAATCCTCTTAGTGTGAGGGATCAGGAGGAAAAACTCAACAGCTTAATGAAAGGGCCCTTCAGCTGTGTTGAGCTCGGCTTACTCTCAGTTAAGAATCTTAAATTCTCATTAGTGGTATCAGTCCAGCTGCCCTCGCTACGAGGTATAAATGGGTGTGCTCCTTTTTATAATGCTCAAAGAATAATTGTTTTCAACAAGTTGAATTAATTAATAATAACACATTTTAAAGAATCAAAAATTAATAACCAGTTACGTGTTCTGTGTTGCTCCTGGTCACAGGAAGGGTAAGGAAAGCCTGAATTCCATTCAAGAGACATTTTACAGTAATTCCATAAAGTAGTTTCCACATGCACCAAATTTCACTTTCAGGGTTCTGAATGGCCATACCCGCTGCATGACAGGTAAGTGACATCTCCGTACTCAAAGTACCGAGGACACAGCATCGGCACCACCTGAGAACGTGTTAGAAATGCAGACGCGCCCACACCTACAGAATCAGAATCTGCAGCTTAACAAGGTCCCCAGGAGGTTCACATGCCCAGGAAAGTTTGGGAAGCAGTGCTAGCCAGTGAGTGCTCTGAGAAATCAAGTGAAAGTGAGGTTAAAATGGACTGTTTTTCCCTCAGGAACCTCATACTGCAGCACACTCTCATTACATCGCCAACTGCGTTGGGAAATCTGCCCACTGCTCACCAATGCAGGCCTCACTGTGGTTATCTAAGACCATTAGAGTTGGCTTCTTACCCCGTAACTGTTGAAAAGCTTCCAAAACTCCAACTCTGGAGAGCATGATTGTGAGAATCGGCACTGGCTCCTACCAAAGCCCACAGATAATGCTTGGAAAGCAATCAGGTCTCTCAATACTGAACGAAGCCCCTAACCACTGGGAGTACAACTTTGTAGGGCTGCTCTAGCCCTTTCCCTGCAAGAAGATGGAGTTAAGCTAGATTTGTGCTTCCAATCTACACTTAATAAAGCCTTGATATGACAGAGAAAACAAGAAGAGTAGCTAATATTTAAGAACACTGAGACTATCGTTCAGTGAAAGAGAAAGGGCTTTGGAGTCAGATATGCCTGGTTGGGAATCCCAGTCCAGTGCTCTTCAGTGGGGGCCATGGGCTTCTTTCCTTACCTATAAAAAGGAAACTGCCCCTTCCACTTTAGAGTCATGCACTAATTCATTCACCAGTTATATACTGAGTGCCTACTCTATGGTAGGAGCTGAGGATACAACTGAACTGACAGCCCAGAGTGCACTGGGAGGGCAGTCAAGGAAGCACGCAGCTTCAATCCCAGGCAGCCAGGACTGTGACAGGAGGCCTGGGGTGCTGTGGTTTTCCCTGTGAGGGGCGCCTGACTCACACTTGGGGGTTTCAACCAGGGATGCATGAAAAGTATCTAAGCTTAGGACTGACCCTGGAAGAGGAACCAGTCCGTTGGATGGGGGGAGGGAGGGACAAGAGGACAAAGAACACATGTGAGAGAGAAGCAAGGCACAGACAGCAGGGCTCAGAAACCACTTCAGGGGCCTGGACTTTATCCTGAAGACAGTGGAACAACCAAGGGTTTTAAGGCTCTAATCAGGAACGTGACACAATAGGCTTGCATTTTATAAGGGACAGTGAGGCAAGAGTCAACTACTGCACTGAGAGCTCTTGGTAAACATTCATTCCTTTCATTTTCTCTCTCCAGCTAAGCAGAGATGAGAGGGTTCTGAACCAATGACGAAATCAACCAACCCAAAAGAAGAAGATGCTCTCCTCTTTCCTATTAGCAAAGTCAGATCACACATCCAGTCAACTGGAGATGTGACTGTGGTTCTCCTGTTTTCAATGGTGTATGACTGACAGCCAAGAATCGTATATTCTCTTAATTGAAACAAGCAACCAGAGAGAAAGAACCCAAGTAATTTCTTTATTAACAATTCCCAGTTTTCAACACTCATGTTTCAAAGTTCCTAGCATTTATTTCCTACACTTGACTGCTTTATAAATCATACTGAGACTACACTGGGATTGAAAAATCCCTTTAGTGCAAATTTTCATTTGGGCGTCACTAAAAAACATCTGACAAAAGACCAATCCTATTTAGAATTCTGTCAAAGGAAATGTAGAGAAACTTCCTAATACTAAAATAACTCATCATCTCTTATGCAATAAAACCCCACTTACCAGCAAATACTTTATTCTTCCTTCTTTATCCTCAGCTAAAAGACCCACTGCATAATTGGCAGTGGAATTAATAACACCTGGTTTTTTGTAACATTCTCTATTTTGTGAATGTTCCACAATCAACAAAAAATATATCTAGGTGGAATTCACTACATAATTTATTTTACTTCATTTTAGCTTTGGGAATAAAATAAACATTTTGCTGACCAGATCAGAATAAGAGCAATTTACTTAAGTAGGTCTTATGCTCTGTAAAGAACCCATATATCAGATTATTTCTAGAGGTCAGCATCACATACATTGTGATTTTTCATTACCATGGATTCTTTTTTCATTTCTATAGTGGAATAAAGTCATCACATATTAGGCCTCACTCACCTGAGCATCTTGTTCGACTTGAGCCTCATCAATTCCAGCATCAGGGTCTCTATTTGCCTGTAAGAGATAATATGTCACATCATTAAATTATAAAGCATTTTCATTCAAAAGGAAAGACGGTTCCACCTGATGGTTATGCACATAAAGCTCTTTCTCTAGGAATAATATGCTTTTATTAAGATCATCCTACAATATTTCACACACCACACAGCACTATCCAAAACCTATCTGACCCTCCTGATTTTAAATACTGTGAAAGAAAGAGGATACTACTATCGAAAACAAATCTGTGAGTCAGTTAGTAAGAGTTTAGGTCAGATATTCCAAAAAACAAACAAGCACTGGCAACATACAGCCAGAATCATCCAAGTAGGAATCAACAAGTACCAGAAATTATTAAAAGAATTTTAAGTGACCGTACTTAACTAGACTCAGGCCGGTCCAACCTCAGACTTTTGAATCAAGCTATAATTAATCTCCACCCAATACCTGAAGGAGAACCACCAACATCCTCTGGTAGTACCCTGAAGTATCCCCCACCACAGCATCTTCCAGGCTTGAGCCATATTCTGTAACAAAACAATTTCATATTTATTTACATCTTCTTTCAACTAGGAAAAAATAAATCCTGCCCCACAAATCAAAGAGACATAAAAGAAGAAATATTACATTTGGTTAACATAAATTCTCTCTATTCCATCTCTGAGTGCTCTAAAGACCAAAGGCAAATGCTTTAAGTGAGTGATTAGAGAAAAATGAATAAAGGCTCCCAAAAGTACTCAATTCTGGCCTAAATCATGACTCAGCCATTTAGAAATTCTCTCAATCAATGTAATTATTAATCTTTAGACATATGATGGTACTGAAACACCCCCTAAACACAGTCAATCATAAGTTTAAACTTTGTTTTGCTCTCTTTCAAATCTTTTACATGATGAATTTCCAAACATCTTCCATGCTCTAATATTCTGAGTTTTCTTTCTTTGGGCATGGCCGCTCCTTCCCCTAATAACAAAGTTAACTCTGAGGGACAGCAATCATATTTTAAAGTATGCCCCCTCCCCACTCTATGTCCAGCTGTTCAACGCAAGGTCACAGGGAAGGGGAGAACTGGGACCTACACGAGTCTACAAATCCTTTTCACTAATTCTCAGACAGCTGCTATTAAAGACAAGGAGGTACTACTCTAAGGTATTTAAATATTTAATCATTATTTGAAAGCAAGTAAACTTTAAAAGCCTGAAACTTCTATTTTAAAAGGCCCAGAAAAGTTACATGTTTATTTCAACCAGTTATGCAAATACAAAACCATGCAGGACTCTTTGATTCCTTCTCCTCTAACACTTAAGTATATACTTAAGTATATATCACACTTAAGTATATATCAAATCCTATCAAATGTTTCTCTTTTCCCCAATTTATGCTCCTCACACCTCCCACCAACCTATGTTGGGCCATAATTACTGAATACGCAGTTTACCTCCCACACACATAGCTTCCTTATCAGCCTCTTGATTCAAATCTCCTTCTTCCCTCAATTGTTCCTTCAACATTCCATTGCCTATTCAGGAACTTACAATGCCCTTGAATCAAATCCAAATTCCTAATGCGGTCCATGCAAAACCATCTACAACCCAGCCTGACCTCGCGTGGTCAGTTTACCTTCCATTATGGACACGCATGTGCCCTCCACGAGGGCCAGGCTCTCTCCATTCCCTGACCATACTGTCTGCAGTCCAGGCTCCATGACGTTGAAGACATGGCACCTTAACCAAAAATGCTTTTTCTACCTCCCCAAAACCCACCTAGTCTTTTTTCCCCCAGCTTTACTGAGTTACGATGGACAGATAAAAACTGTATATATTTAAGGTGTACAACATGATGTTTTGATATACACATATGTTGTGAAATAATTATCACAATCAAGCTAACTAGCATACTATCCATCACCTCACACAGTTTTTGTTTTGTGGTGAGAACATTTAAGATATACTCTCTTAGCAAATTTCAAGTGTACAATACAGTACTATTAATATAGTCACCATGCTATACATTAGATCTCCAGAACTTACTCATCCTGCCTAATGGAAACTCTGTACCCTTTGACCAACACCTCCCCATTCCCTTCTCCCCTTCACCTTACCCCCAACCCCAGTCCCTGGCAACCACCTTCTTACTTTCTGTTTCTATGAGTTCTACTTGTTTAGATCCTACACATAAGTGGTATCTGCAGTATTAGTCTGTGTCTGGCTTATTTCACTTAGCATAATGCCCTCCAGGTTCATCTATGTTGTCATAAATGACAGGATTTCCCTCATTATGACTGAATAATATTCTACTCTGTGTGTGTGTGTGTATTTATACACACCATTTTCTTTACACATCCCTCTGCCAATAGACATTTAGTAAACCCATCTAGTCTTGCAACTCTGCTGAGTGTGTGATTTGCACCATGAAGTCTCCCCTAACATCGAAAGCTAAGAGGTCTCTCCTCTCTCAATGCATTCTTGCATTAAACGTTTTTGGTATTTGACTTTAGTTTGAATCTTAGCATCCTTCAACTACTGCAGTTGTTGCACGTCGTGTCACCCCTAAACAGACTCATGCAAACTCCTTGAGGACAGAAGCCGTGTTGTGCACACCCTCTGTGTCAGTATGCCACCGGACACACGGCCAGTGCTCGATAACACAGTGAAGTGGGACAAACCACACACGGCTATCACTCCCTTTCAGCACTCCATTTTTCATCCAGTAGCAAAAATGCTTACTCCTCAATCAACATCCCTAGAAAGAGATCTTTGACTATTACATCAAATAAAGTTCAAAGTTAAGATACATGTATCTCCTCTGCCTTACCGTTGAGACCTATCTGCCAAGAAGAGCAGCAGGAAAGAGAGATTCGACATTTCAGAAAGGTAATTATTTAGTTGCTTGAAATATCACACTGTTCTGATCTGCTGGGTTAACAAAGCCATTTCTAAGATTAACAAACAAGTGCCAAGAAGGAGACCCATTTCCCTAGCCAAAGGCACGAGGCTTGTAATCTGCTGATCGAGCTGACAAACCAGACGGTCCGACCCTCCTCCATCTGGTGGGAGGAAAGAGTCAGCGACAAGAAATCTGACAAGGAAAGAACTCTCTACCTAATTTTCTATTTCATTTTCTCGATTCCATTCACAGGATATACTTCAGATTGAAATATAGATTTTTTTTCATGAAAAAGGCACACTAACAAAATCAAAATGCAGAGTGTTTTATTCAAGCATTGCCATTAGCTCAAACAACATACACTTACTCAAATGTTTTTATCAACTCCGATTTGGAAAAAGGTTTAGGTTTCTTTTCTAAGATTCCAAAGCTGCTTTTTAGGTAACTCTTAATTTCTACTAACATAAAACTGAATTTGTTTTAAATGAAGAAAAACCGCTTATACCTTACAGTTAATGTAAAAGAAAGACAACTTGTATATCCCACCATGCATTGTAAATCCTATGCAAAAGTAAACCCCATCTTCACCAGCAGCTTCTTATAAACCACTAAAGCAGTTATAGGTAAAAAGGCAACCTTTTCCTTACTAAAGGAGAAAAACGGATTCAACCGTAGCTTATTCATCCATTCAATAATCATGTATTGCCTGCCTCCTGTACCCATGAAGGAAGGACTGCACTCACATCAGAGAAATGAAAGGAGGGACAGTGGAGATGAAGCAGAAATATAACCTGAAACATTTACCTTCTTCATAAACTTCCTTTATGGCTCTTAGTTCTTCAGGTGTCCTTGAAGCAATAATTTCTGTGAGGACTTTTTCATTGGTCCCAGCTCCCTGTGTGGAGATTTATTTTTAATAGAGGAAACATGTCAGTAAGATTAAAAAGAATGTTATTTTCCTAGTATAGATATTACCCAAATTGCATAATTATATAAATATTATCCAACATAACATGAACTTCTATGTATATGAGTTCTATTACAACAGAAATTTGAAATTTTCTCTCCAAAAACAATTTATTCTTTTTTGTTTAATGAAACACAATATTTATTGTATGTATGTGTGTATATATGTATATATATAACCAGTTACATAAATTTGTAACTTGTAATTTGACCAGTTAATTCCAGTTTAAAAGTAAAACATTTTAATGAAACATGAAATGATTTTTAAAAAGCTGAAATGTAAAAATGAAAAATTTACATAAATTTAGAAGGAACATTGATACTTAAACAATCCATATCTCAAAACATAAACCCTTGCCCCCAAGTTAAGTTCTCAGTGGAGTCATAGGGAAATTGTGCTTCAAAGGTAACAATAAATACAGCATTGCTTAGTTATTAGGAATTGGGTACAAAGGAATTGGGACTTGCTTTCTGGATTTTTAAAAAATAATTTTAGTTTTCCTTTTTCTGTTTATAAAAATCGTACCTACAGTGCTAAATTAGATGTAACCACACAACTGAGCTTAATTTAGAAAGATAAATATATAGAGACATATAAAATTTTCTTTATATTTCTGTTTCTTTACCAAAAATCAAGCACTGAAAAACCTAGGTTCATCCTCTGACAGAATTTCAGCTGCTGCTAACATTTCAGAAGGACTCTGCAAAAAAGCACTTTTCTCAATAAACCTAAGAGTTTGTTTATTCCAAAGAATCACTGTAGGAAAATGAAGAGACTAAGCATAATCTAGCTCCTATCTGGATGAACCTTCTCCTCTCTGTACTCCGTAACTAAGAATCACTGAGCTACATCATCTCCTTGTTGTTTAATCTCAATCTGCCCATTCAAAATCTAACTGTTAACCACTGAACTTCTTCCTGTCTGGTAAATCTAAACAAATATTTCAATGCAGTCATATTTATACAATATTCCAAACACCAGTCAAAGGAACACACATTTAGTTTTTGCTACAACTGAAATTACAACAAGTTTACCAGTTACTTCATTTTAGTGTTTAGAAGTACACGAAAGATTTTGTGACAAAAAAAGAAAAAAAGAAAAAAGAAAATTAGACATGAGGACTTTGAGACCAAAAAAGAAATAAGTAAATATAAAAAGAAGTATAGGAGAGAAGGAACGAGTATTAGAAGATCTTTATCTTGAAAATTCTCCCTGAAGCTTTACTGTTTAACCTAAAATGATAAGCAATACTATTGTTCCCCAAGCAATTTGCTATTTAAAAAGATAAAATACCTCACCTGTAATATTTTTTAAACACTTTTAAAAATTAGGAGACAGGCATGAAAATAAAATATAAAAATCTATAAAAAATAGTAAAAATTTAAATAGCCAATATTATCGGGTTTAAGTACACAAAAAGACTGAAAGACACACTTGTAATTTTCTCCCTTCTTTACTTCTTACTGCCTCCTACAGCTCCTGTCATCCAAGCAACTCTCACTGAAGTAAGTCAAATAAAATTTTTAATACATAACAATTAAGATACAGTAATTACCAAAACAAAATAGTATTATCTACAACAGCAACATTCCTCTCACTCATCCTTTTTACCTTAAGGGCATGCTTCAGTTCATAGGCATCATAAAGCCGAGAGGGTTTCATCAGAGCCACAATTAATTTTTCAAATTTTCCAGTTAGTTCTGATTTCAGGTCATCCAGAAGATCCTAATTCACAGAAAATATAAATTTGTTAACCAGATAGAAACGTTAAGGAGATTCTTCTTAAATATAAATGATAGCCCCCTTGTACTAATGAATTCTTTATGTAGCTGTCTCCAAGTAGAAGGCACATGAGCTAAACAACCCCATAACCTTGAATAATATAGTATACTTTTCACACATGACCTACATACACCTAAGCTAAGGCAAAGCCATCTATGCATGAAGGTATTTATTTTTACAAAATTTTTTCTTTTTTTTTTTTTGCCACTGCTAATTGGATATGTTAGAAAATGTTTTTCTTAACTTGAAGAGTTGGAAAAAAATGAATACCTTCAAAAGTAGACTAAAGATATTTTACTTTTAAAATACTATTCTGAGAAACACACGTATCTTTTTAAAAAATTCCCCCCCAAAAATTATAAATACATTTTTCCAAAGGATAAAATTTAGCTTATCATACCCAAACATAACAATTTTTTCTTTTTTCTCAATATCTAGTAACATTCTAATAAATAACAGATTATGGTCATTATTATGCTCCTGACTACTGAGAGACATCTGTTACTATGGGGATATGGTGTATATAATTGTGAAAAGAAAGACTACAGGTTATTTCCTACCTATAAATTTCAGCATACCAGGCAACTATAAATGGTGCTTAGAATACTTTCCCTTTTTGCTTTGCATTTGTTTCTCAATGAAATGACAATACAAGTTTTCAGAATAACAAGATTACATTTAAGTTTTTTATGCATGCACTCATTCATTTAATGAATTTAAAATTACTTTGAATTGTAATCAAATAAGAGCAATTAAATCAATTAATTAAAAATCCATCAATTTTTTTTTTTTTTTTTTTTTGAGACAGAGTCTCACTCTACTGCCCAGGCTAGAGTGCCGTGGCGTCAGCCTAGCTCACAGTGGCATCAAATTCTTGGGCTCAAGCAATCCTCCTGCCTCAGCTTCCTGAGTAGCTGGACTACAGGCATGTGCCACCATGCCCGGCTAATTTTTTCTATTTTTAGTAGAGACAAGATCTTGCTCTTGCTCAGGCTGGTCTCCAACTCCTGACCTACAGCGATCCTCCCGCCTCGGCCTCCCAGAATGCTAAGATTACAGGCGTGAGGCTCCTGGCCCAGCCAAAAATCCATCAATTAAAGTCACCACAAAAGGAACCAAGACTGTAACTGTGTCATAAAAAACATTGTAATACAGGCTTACATCTAGAAAATGGATAATAAAACAATCCTGAGTATAGAAGGTAAAAAGAGGGGCAGTTATCACGATGGAACCTTTTGACACCTCTACAGCATCAAGCAGGGAAAAGCGATTATGTGAGGATAAGTTGGGTGAGCATTGTATACCAACATCTGATAATTTGGAGGAGAGGTGAAAAGAAAAAAAAAAGTAGGGAAGTCAGAATCACAAAATAAATGATGCTTATAAAAAATACTAGCATATTCCAAAGTAGTCTTATAACTCACAGCTACCCTCCCATTCTACCCTGGGATGAAGTGCAGTCTTACCCTGCCAAATAGAGTTTTAAAAGCCGCAGCGATTTCCTGGCGCTGAGCATTACTGCGGGATGTCAACAGAGTCAGGATGCTCTCCTCATCGGTTCCTGCAATTTATGGTTAAGAATGACAGTTCGACTCCCACATGCCCACCCCCCAGCCACCCCTGTACCCAGCTCCCCAGTCACTTTTATTTCTTTACCTCTCTGAGAATATAAAATGTTTTATCAGTTTCTTAAAAATATAAAATTTACAATATATAAAATGCTAGAGTTCCAACACATACTATTCCCCTATTCCCGACATATATTATGAAGTAGGTAGAAAAATACTCCCGACCTTTGAAAAACTGAGTGCATCTAGTTTTTCATGCAACAAATAGTTACTCAAATAACAGCTATTCACAATGCACAATGTGCTGGGTGTTACAGGGGGTTGGGAGAAGAGAAAGACATAAACTCTGGCTTCAAATTACAGACAATTTAGGGTGAAAAATATAAAAACATAAATAACTGTGAGCTAAGACAGAATGTGACAAGTGCCTCAGGAGAGGTCCAGGTGTTAAACAGGGTTCAAAAGGGGGGCTCTCAGCTGATGGGAGGTGGAAGGAAGTTTCAGGAAAAGCTTCACGGAAAAAGTAACACTCAAAACAGTCTTGAAGGACGGAAGGATTGTGAAAGGCAGTGATGCAAGGAAGGCAGGTTTTTAGAACAAGGGAAAAGCTCAGCAGTGGGAAAACACAGGGCTTTTGTAACTAGCAGATAACCCGGCATGGCTGGATGAGAGAACACATCAGGCAGTAAAGGGAGATGGGTCTGAAAAGGTGGGCTGGGACACTACGGAAGGCCTTGCAAGGCCAAAAAGCATGTGAACAGTAGTGCACAAGGAGCCTGAGCACAGGAAGGCAGTTACACGTGGAAATCCTCAAGATGGGAGGTTTTTAAATGGCTAGAAAAGGGGCCAAGGAAAGAGAAGAGAGTCACATATAAGAGACTTGCAGAACGAGAACTGGATATCTGACCGGGCAGAGGGAACAGAGCTGCAAAGCTGCTCACTCTCGGGCACGGCTGCATCTCCACTCAGGCCGCTACAGCACAGTAAAGGTGACAAGCTCAAAAGCACAGCGGCTGAATTTCACTGCCTGTTCAGTTCTAGAGACCGAATATTAGGGATGGTCTCCATTATTACTGGTTTATCTTAATGTATCTTTTGTCCTATAAATTTCAGATCGAAATAGTCTAAAATTTATCTTACTGTAATCAATGACGTTTTGTCTAAAAAAAACAAATGGTACATTTTTTTAGAACAAAAAGGAGGCTAAATTTACCCAGGCCTTTCATGGCCTTCCGAAGAGTTTCTGCATCCGCCCGCTCATCAAATCCAGGGAAGTCACTCACGGTGCCTTTGCGAAGCTAAGACAGGAAACAGTGGTATTACTCACATCATGACAAATACGACAAAGCAAACAACACAAACAATAAGCCATTTGCTACATATCACACTTAGTAATTAAACAAATTTACCGTTTGATAAGATTTTTGACCGCATTTGACATGGGAAGTAGACCATTTACAATGTGGATCCACAGGGCCAACTCAGCGCACAAGCTGCCCTGACCACCTGCAATACCATTAGTGGGAAGGCTGGCTCCCTCCTCCCCGTGATCAAGCCCCGCCAACACCTCTGCGTTCACAGAGGGCACCTCCTTGCAGGCCTCCTTCCTCCCACTAAGTCTCTCACCACCTTGATCTAGGAACACGCTGAACCTGCACTGAACCTTAATATCCCACCCTGAGCACTCACTTCCAAGCAATGCTCTTACTACATGTTTTTTCATCAAAGTCCTGTCTCTGTATACTTACTTAGGGATCTTAAGATAACCCACCAAAGCCTGAAAAGATATTTGGTAGTTCATGTGCCAGAAGAATACAAATCTTTTGAACTTGACAAAGGTGTACTGGAAGACATTCTTTACGAAGCTTCCTGTTACACGTTATCTCATATATAGTACTTTTAATAATCAAAATATTTTAATATTTCAAAGGAAGTTTGCAATGTTATTAGATCCTCAGAGTCAGAAGGCTTTACCAATATTGAGCCATAAATTCCTACCTTATGATTAAGGGAGGCTCCAGCATTTACTTTTACCAATAAATGTTACTGAATTCCCCCAAAACTCCTATTAAGGGACCATCCAAAACGGAGAAACAAACGGCTGCTCTGGTTTACAATCACATGTGTTATTACGAATGCAAGAAGCACAGTCACCTTCAAGGGGAAAAATTTCTTTTCTACCTCAGCCTCCAATTGCTGCATATGCCAATAATCATACCACTACTCAAATTTTAAAAGATGACAAAAGAAAGATAGCCATGGGAAAGGACTTCCACAGGACACAGTGTCAAAGGTCAGCTCAGTGACCTTCCCTCTTTAGTGGCACTAAATTATGCTTCCGAAAAAAGTGACACTCGTGGATCCAGGAGACAGTGACAAAGACTCTCTCCTTGACCAAATTTTGAACAGGCTCCTCTGAGCCCTCTTCTCAACTAGGCCTTGTCCCTGGGCCTCCTTTGCATGCCCAGCCCAGCTGCAGCAAGAATCTTGCTAAGCCACTTTAGGAAGGATATCTCTAACTCCTGGTATCTGATCACCCTCTCTTACGGATTCAATGTTTATGTCCCCTCAAAATTCTTATGTTGAAATCCTATCCCACAACGTGATATATTAGGAGATAGGGCCTTTGGGAGATAACTAGGATTAGAAGTAGTCATGAGAACACAGTCCCTATGATGAAATTAGTGTCCTTGTAAGAGTCCTGGGAGAGCTTGGTTCTCTCTGCTCTCTGCTGTGTGAGGATGTAAGAAGGTAGCAGTCTACAACTCAGAAGAGAATCCAACCTGAACCCTCACCAGAACCCGGGCATGCTGGCCCCCTGACCTTGGACTTGCAGCCTCCAGAATGGTGAGAAATAAATTTCTGTTGTTTGTAAGCCACCCAGACTACAGTATTCTGTTATAGCTGCCCAAAGGAACTAAGGCACCCTCTATGTCTGATCAGTGTCCTTATTCCCCACCCTTGACATCTGATCATGCTAGCCTGCCTTCAGCAAGAATCCTGTTGAGTGAGTTTATTGAGAAACTCCCTAACTTGATGTCTCCTCTTGGTAACTTTCCATCCACTGACCTCCTCACTCTGCGTGCTGACTGTAAATCCCCAGTTGTCTTCGCTGTATTTGGAGTTGGGCCTGATCTCTCTCCCCTATTATGATAGTCTGCAATATTCTTGAATGAAGTCTTCCTTACGGTCAGAATAATTTTTTCTTTAACAGTAGTCCCTCCTCTTATTCAAGAAGAAAAGATACATTGTTCTTTCCCGTGAACAGGGTGGGCTATGAGAGAACCTGTTGGAAAACCTGACCTCATGAAGTTCCTCCTGACCTTAACTCCTTAGATCAAGAGTTATGATCATGAGGCCAAAGGACACGACCCAAGAGAAGAAAAGGTGTTTTTCAGGCTGTATCCCAGACCCAGATTGTTGACTGGTAGCAGCTTTCATTTCCTCAGTCCCTCAGCTAAACGAAGGACTGTGGCCAACCAGGAAAAGGGGTGGGAGGACCTTTCTCCCACTTGTCTTGTGGAAAGGTCATCAAACTAAGCCAGAGCTGCTCATTCCTCCAAGTGGGAAATCCACCCACAGCCAGGCTAGTCTCCATTCCCACCCCATCTAAGGAGCACTGATGCATGAAGACCAATAAATCCCCCTCCATTAGTTCTGTAGCTTGAGCCATATGAAATTGAATGGTTGAATATTGGCAATTTCATATGATTCAACATAATTAAAAGGTGCTATAGGTTAGGAGAGAAATTGGTAAGATTTGAGAAGATAGTCCTTCAAAATTAGCTTGGGTTAGGAAAGTTATTTCTCTCAGATCAAACTACAGTTTTTGTTTGATTGATTATGAAGACAACATCAATATCATTGTATAAATGAATAAATACCACAATTTTTCTTAATGTGAGAACTTAGGACTGCCTGCCCTTGCAGTTTACCTGTCTGTTTATTCAATTCACCCAACAATCATCTTCTGAATGCCTTTCGTGTGCAAAGTATTGGTTAAGAGTCAGGGTCCCTAAAGTCAAGTAGAAAATGACAGGCGTGTAACTGACCAAGAGCAGGAGAGGATGTACACAGGCTGGATCAGGGTACTGTGAGCACATAAAGGGTGACTGAGTTGGAAAGAGTAGAAAGAAAAGAAATATGGGGAAAATTTCAAAAAATGCCTTGAAGGTTGCTTGTGAATATGCCAGGCTGGTTCAGGAAAGTAGAGAAGTATAGGAGAGTATTTTTCAGCATGCATAAAAGCATGGAAGAACAAAACAATCGATCTGATACTTTGGATAAAGGGTTAAGCATTTCAACAGAGTGGAACAAGCAGTAAAGTTGAATAGAAAAACAAACAAGGGGAAGGTCACATTGAGGGGAGAGGAGGAGCACAAAGGCCATGCTAAAAAGCCCAGACGTCACCCCCCTGGGCAACAGGAAGCCATTAGAGCAGCAATCTACAACCTTTTTGCTTTTTGGCATCAGGGACAGGTTTCATGGAAGACAATTCTTCCACAGATGGTGGGGGGGATGGTTTTGGGATGATTCAAGCGCATTACATTTATTGTGCACTTTATTTCACTGATTATTACATTGTAATATATAATGAAATAATTACACAACTCACCATGGGCTGGGGACCCCTGCATTAGAGGACACACAAACAGGGAAGAACAGTGTCAACTCTGCACAGTGATATGACTCTGGCAGTAGTAGGGACCTGGAATGGACTGTGCATGAGTGGAGACAGGGAGACTGTTTCAAAACTAACAACACAAAAGAAGGTCAAGAAGATCTGATCAAAGGCAGGGGAATGGAAATGGAAAGGAAAACACAAACAGAAACAAGAGCAGGGTAGAAGGGAACTATTTAGGATGATTCTGGCTTTGGATGGGGAAGAGATGGCTGGTTTTGCATTTCTCCATCGTAGGCATCTCAGAAGAGAAGCAGGCTTGTGAGTTATTGGCACACAGTGGTAGCTGGAGCTGCCTGAGGGGGCCACCACCCAAGGCAGTATTAATGGAGTGGAAAGAAGAGCCAGAGAAGAAGGGAAGGGAAGGTGATCGACAGAATGTCAGCTAATATCTGGTGAGTGCAGCAATGAGCCAGGAACTGTGCTCAGGGCTTCACATGAGTCGTCTCAATAAGCCCCCAGCTATGGTTTGAATGCTTGTTTCCTGTGAACCTCACATTGACGCTTAATCCCCAATGAGGCAGTATTGAAACGTAGGGCCTTTGAGAGGTGACTGTGTCATATAAGGGCTCTGCCCTCATGAATGGATTAATCTATTCATGTACTAATGCATCTATGGGTTATCATGGGAGTGAGACTGGTGGTTTCACAAGACGAAAAAGAGACCTGAGCTAGCACACTCAGCCTCCCCACCGTGTGATACCGTGAGCCGCCTCGGAACTCTGCAGAGTCCGCACCAGCAAGAAGGCCCTCACCAGACGCAGCCTCTCCACCTTGGACTTCCAGTCCCCGTAACTCTATGAAATAACGTCCTTCACTTTATAAATTACCCAGTTTCAGGTATTTCCGTTATACGCAAGAAAAAATGAACTAAGACACCTCATTTTACAGACGAAGAAACACACTAACTTAGAAAGATTTGGCGAGTCACCCAATTGACCAGGAAATAAGCAAGTGGCAGAGCTGGAACTTGAACTCAAGCCACGGGACCGTGGCCCTGAGCTCTTAAACACGAAGCTACACTGCACAAAGCCCAAAGGCAAGAAGAAAATCCAAAGAGGTTGATGGCGTCGAAGCCCAAGGACACAAACGTTCCCAGAGGAAAGGAAGAAGAGGCAGTGTCCAATACCACAGTCAAGTAAGAAGACCAAAAGGGTTCCCTGGATTTGGTAAGTAGAAGGTCTTTGGTGGTGATAAAAGACTGGCTGTAGGACACTCAGGAGTGAATTGAGAGGCAGATCGTCTCAATGACACTCCATTTTACAAACAACAGTGTATAAAAACACGTTTTAAAAAAAGAAGAAAAATAACAGACTTGATCCAGTGTGTAGGCTATGAAGAAACAGATAGAGAGGTTACAAATAGGGCAGAGGTTAAAAACAGAAGAGACAGGAGGGATATGCCTCAAAGAAAAAAACTATCTGACCCCAGTCACTGAAGGAAATTAGGTGCAAGATGAAAGGAAGAGAAGTGTCCTCAAAAATCACAGCTACTAGCTATGAAGAAGAAATAACTGCTGGTCATATTTTTGAGAGCTTTCTAGAAATTGTGAAACCCTTTTGCTACATTCCATGCGATCAGAGTCACCAGTCAAAGCTAGCCAAGCCATGTAGTGGT